GATAATAAATTACTGTAACCATACCAATAAGCCAATGTTATAATTATGGATTCTACAGAAACCAGTCTGGTGTCACTCTTAAGAAATGTCATGGAAAAGTGATATAAAATCAGATTTTATTGTTTCTCATAAAGTTTCTTCAGGGCCAGCTATGACCTTCCTCCATTCACTTGTACATCTGCACTTTCACTCTTTTTCATTCATCTTTCTGCCTTTTCCACGCCCTCCCTAAGAAAATAGAAAATTAAAAAGTAAGAACACGGTCAGCAATCTCAAGTTCAAAGAACTGAAGACATTCAAACCTCAAGTCGCTATACTGTAAGATTCTACAGGCAAAAATCTTTAACAATGTAGGGAGCATCAAAAGATGACAAAATGAATACAGAGTCACTATATCAAAAAGAATGGGTCAATACTTAAGACATTTTAGGAAGCAGTTCATGATCAAGAACCAAGGGTAATGAAGGAACAAGTTCAAGCTGCACTGAAGACACTGGTACAAAATATGGCCCCAAGAATGAATGGAATAGCAATTGAAGTATTTCAACAAATAAACGTAGTAGCCCTGCGTGAATTCACTAGGCAATGCCAAGACATTTGGAAAACAGCTACCTAGCCAACTGACAGAAGAAACCCATATTTGTTCCCATTCCAAAGAAAGGTGATGCAAAAGAGTGTGGTCAGTAAGGAGAGAGTATTTTTTAAAAGGAGGGGTGTGGAATCAACTATAATTATTTCCAAGGAGGTTCTGCTCTGTAAAGAGAACAGCTAAATCTCATTGACAAGAAGCAATAGTTGTGGAAGCCATGCCAACGGGGAGTTGAGATCTCTGACACAGGGGAGAAATATGAGATTAAAGAGCAGCACAAGGTTGATCAGAAAACTGTGGAGTCCCAATTTCTGCCAAAACTCAGATGTCTGTCAGCTCAAAAGCTGTGTTCTTTATTTCCCCTCACCAATGGAGTTTACCCTCACAAATATGATTAAAGTAAAAAAAAAAAAAAAAAAAGAGAGAGAATTCTAGTTTTAACACATTACATCTAAGATTCCTGCTTGTTTGTCAGTCACTGCTTTAATGAAAAGTAACAACGGAATCACTACCTAGATGCGTCCTGATAGAATGTGTTCCCTCCATTAAAATATTAAAAAAAAAAGAACAGCTAAAATACTCATGGATATCACTGAATATTTAGATGTTACTTTTTTTTAAAGAATGAACTTAACTTTGAACAGACTTAAAATTAATGTAATGGTTCTCATTATCTCTAGCTTAGTATGAAAACATTCATAAATTTAGATCTGATAGGGTAGCCAATCAGCTCTGGTAGCCTAGTGCCAAAAAGATGCTCTGCAATCCCAAAAGCATGTGATTCAAATCCACAAGCCGCTCTGCAGAAGAACAGGCAATCTCCTGTGCGTTTTACTGTCTCTGAAAACCCACTGAAGGGCCAGCTGTGAGTTGGTTCCAACTTGATGGCACACAAGTGTAGTCCTCCATAAGGAGTGAGCTATTAAGCCAAAAGAAGTGCCTGTTTTTCTAAAAGTCTGAATCCATCAGTTGCTCGAAGAGAGAAAGACAATTACCTCCTGTTCAATTTACAGTTCCAAAAACCTGCTGGAAGGTCAGCTATGAATCAGATCAGATGCCACAGATATGAGAGAGAAACCTCTATCTAATACAAATTTCTCATCCAAATGACCCCACCATCAGTAAGTAAAGTGCAATCAAGGTGATTCTGACTCATGAATGGCAGCCACCCATGGCAACTTGGTGTTGTCTATAGCTGATGTTTTAGAAGTAGATTGCCAGGATTTTCTTCCAAGGTACCTATGGGCATATTCAAATCGCCAACCTGCTCAAACTGAACACAGGAACCACTGGCACCAATCAGGGATGATATCTCATTATTCTTACGATTTTTAAAACTTAATACATGTGTAATGTTACCTGTTGTTGCTGTTATGTGCCATCGAGTAGTGTGTGACTCAGCAGCCCTATTCACAACGGCTCTGAACTCTGCCCTATCCTGAGCGAGGCTCACTGACTCCAACACATCTACCCCCCATTACCTAGTTACTGTGTCAATCCATCTCATCTGAGGCCTTTCTCTCCTGCGCTGTCCTTAAACCCCCTTCTTGTTGTGTACTGTCCAATTAGATCTGACTGGCACAGGAGGAGATTGTCCCACCTTCTCCAGCAGAGCATCTGGTGGATTTGAAACGTGCACCTTTGGGACTGCAGTGTGGCTTCTTGCCACTAGGCCACCAGAGCTCCCTTCAGGAATACAATCTTATTTTAACAGTGCTCCCAAAACCAGAATAGCTGTATAATATAGACAGTAAAATCACAAAGATATACATTGTCATTATTGTTGTGTGCTGTTAAATCAGAGCCAGGAAATATATCATATAGGTATAAAACATACGTGGAAGGGGGAAGGAGCAAATACTGCCTCTATTTGTAAATCCTTCTATTATCTCTTTGGCAAAACTTTGGTTTTTGAACACTTGACCTTAATGCTTATGAAGTAAACTTAAGACTTACAAACCTTTCTCTTAATCCTCTAAATATGTGTATTGCTTGTTAATTTAGGTCAAAGTTTATGTTCACTTGTCAAAATCACTAGTTTAACTCCTTCATTTCACAGAAGATGAAAACAACTCAAAAGAAAAGACATTTTCTAGATTTTTTTTTTACTATTGTTGTTATTGGGTCCCCTCAAGTCACCTCTGACTCATAACAATCAGTGTTATTACTCTCTTCCCTAAACTTATTATAACTTCAATGAAGACGTATTAATTTCTCAGAATTAAATAAAAATGTTAAGCCACATATACCCTGTCCTTTTGGAAAAATCATTCAGAAGTCTATTGCTCAAACTAGACTTTCAGTCTTTTAAATATTATACATATAGCTAGGACACAAAACTTGTATTATAAGCATGAAATTATGACTGGAAATTTGGACCAGGAGATGCAGACTAATTTTTCCTATTTGCTACAGTCTCCCAGTATCTAGACTATTTATTAAAAGTGTTACTTCCAACAGTACTTTTTCTAGATAGTTAATAGTAATTTGCATAATTAGGAGGTAAGAATCTGTTTACCTACAATTAGTCTCATTTTATGTATTTTAATGACAGAAAAAGGTCTTATAAAAGAAACTAATCTTTTCTAAACAGTAACCTTCTTGGTGGCCTTCCCACTGAAAAAAAAGGCATTTCTCGTTTTATCTTTTAGAGAGAAATTACCAGCACAATTACAATAATGAGAATATAAATGAAGACAGGAAATAAAAATGACATTTTCACTAAATTTCTCACAATTCTAACTAAAACAGAAATGCATACAGTTTACAAAACAAATGCACAAAACTTAATAAATATAATTGGGAAACAAAATGTAAAATATTACATGTTGTGTACCGCAGAGTCGGAATCAACCCATAGCTGACCCTCCAGAAGGTTTTCAGAGGTAATTAACAGCAGGGGACCAGACTGCCCATCCGTCTCCCTTGGAGCAGTTGGTGGCCTTGAACTGTGTGCCTTTGGGATTGCAGCACAGGTTCTTGTCACTAGGCCACCAGAGCTCCCTAAATATTAGACAGTCGTAAAATAAAGCATTAACAGATACTGCTGAAGGGTGAAATTATTTTATTTTCTTTTATATACTTTTCTATAGTTTCCTAAACTTTCCACGGTGAATCCTTTTAAAATCAGGGGGGTTCGGGGAGGAGGAGTAGAGAGACTCATTTAAGAAACAAGACCAAGTAACAGATAACAAAGGTTCATGTACAAGGACTCTCCATGTTGTCCAAGTACTACTGACATGATGCACCATTAAAGACAATTGCCATGCCTGCTCACTTTCCAACCGGTTTCAATAAATACTGCTGTTTAACGTCCTGGCAGGGAGCTCTGACAGCCTACCGGCAAGAAGCTGAGCTGAAATTTCAAAGGCATTTAGTTCATATCCACCAGTTGCTCTGCGGGAGAAGGATGGGCAATCTCTTCCCGTGAGATTAAAGCCTCTGAAAACCTGCCAAAGTCAGCTATGGGCCGGTTCCGACTCTGTAATACCCAACAACTTCCTAGTGCTTTTCGGCAACACCCTCAACATGGTAATCAACTTCACTTTCTCAAATGTTTCATCTAAACATGCATCTAAGCTTTTCATTTTGCCTTACACATAGCAATATTTCTCGCCAATATTCAGTATTTTATTTTCCTAAATCACTAACTTTTGCAGTAACAAAATCTGTAAAGAATCTTTTGACTCACGAATTACAAGTTTACTAAACTACCAATATTTTGCCAAGGAAAAGTAAAGCCCGGGTAAACTACACGTCCCACCATGCATTGCTGCCTTGTTCAGAGTAGGTCTCTACGGAAACAGAAAAAAAAAATTCTGCAAGTCCCACCTGTTACTTCGTTTCTAAATACCTCCCGCACTTTCAGCCCCGGCAGCAAACAAAAACAAAAGCCTCGTGATTTCACGCCGGATCTGAGCGCGCAAACAAGAGGGGCTGGGGACCCGCCGCCTGTCTTCTCTAGTGGGTAAATTCTACCAAGCTCCAGCGCTCCCCTCTTTTCCGGAGCTGGATGCACGCACAGCTTTCTCCTATCTGCATCCAATGGGGGCTCGACAGCCGCACAAGGGAAAAACCGGGTTCCTAGGCAAACACAGCAGACTTTCCGATGCCGAGGAGAAGGCTATCCCGGTGTGAGAGTGATGGTGACCTGACCCAGAGACAGACTCAAAACACCAAGAGGAATCGCTGCTGATGCTTGGGGAAGCCGCAGCCTCGCGGCGACCCCTTTCCGCTGGCCGATTCCATTCTCACAGGGATCATAACCTCGGCACTAACCGTCGCCTTCCCCGCGAGGTTTTGTGTCCCCTTGGCCAGGTCGCTGAGCCAGTGACCTCCCTTTCCCCTGTGACTGGCAGGTTGCAAGGGGACGAGATCCTCCCGGCCTTCCCCCTTACTCCCTCCCACTTACCGTCTTGGCGGCCTCCGCCCAGGTCCTGCCCTTCTTCCTACGGCCCTTTTCCCTCATGTCGGGTCTTGAACTGACTGGGAGGCTCCCGTGTCCGGGCTCCGGCCGCCCTCCCTGTCTGCTCTGCCCTGCGCTGCTTTTCCCGCGGTGCCGGGAAAGATAGGAGAAAGGGGAAGTCAGAGCTGAGAGGCACCCAAGCAGAGGAAGTCGCGGGGGGTGGTGCGCGGGAGAGGGGGTGGGTGTCTATGGGGCGGCCGGTCCTCTTGCTGCCGTTGCCACTGCTACCGCCGCTGCCATATTGGGTTCTTACTGTACAGGCAGCAGCTATGGTCATGTGACCGCTCCCGCGCGGCCGTCACTACTGTACGCAGCCAGTCGCGCGAGCGAGCGCGCGCGCGCCTCCGCCTCCCGCGAAGGGATGCGGGGAGAGAGCCGGCCGGCGGCGGTGCCTGGCCACACCCCCGCCCTTCCGGTCTCCGGCCCTCCTCCAGAGCATGCGCGTGAGGGGAGGGAGCTGACGCTACTCTACGTTGAGCGTCTTCTGTCCCCGCCTACAAGAGTTGTCCCCGCCTACAAGAGTAAAACCGACCTACGCAAGCGGAACGTGATCATCCCAAAGGTTTATTAGAATCCTTCCTGGGGCTGGAGCTTCTTGTGCTAGCGAACGTCGTCGTCCTGCGGAGTCTCCTCATCCGGTACCGGCGTCTGACCTCACATTCCACAATGTACCATAATAGTAGCCAGACGCGGGACTGGACTTTCGCCAGTGAAGAGCAAATAGCACGACTTCGGGTCGACGCCAATCTCGAATTCAAATGCAAAGCGGTGGCGAACGGGAAGGTTCTTCCAAATGATCCAGTCTTTCTTGAGACTCATGAAGAAATGATCCTCTGCAAATACTATGAGAACAGATTACTGGAATTCTGTTCGGTATTTAAGCCCGCAATGCCAAGGTCTGTTGTGGGTACAGCATGTATGTATTTCAAAAGGTTCTATGTTTATAACTCAGTAATGGAATATCACCCTCGCATAATAATGCTCACTTGTGCATTTCTAGCCTGTAAAGTAGATGAATTCAATGTATCTAGTTCACAGTTTGTTGGAAACCTTAGAGTGAGTCCTCTACGGCAGGAAAAGGCACTTGAACAGATACTGGAATATGAACTACTACTTATACAGCAACTTAATTTCCACCTTTTTGTTCACAATCCATATAGACCATTCGAGGGCTTCCTTATTGATTTAAAGACTCATTATCCCATGTTGGAAAACCCAGAGATTTTGAGGAAAACAGCTGATGACTTTCTTAATACAGTGGTATTGACAGATGCTTACCTTTTATACACACCTTCCCAAATTGCCTTGACTGCCATTTTATCGAGTGCCTCAAGGGCTGGAATTACCATGGAAAGCTATTTATCAGAGTGCCTTATGCTGAAAGATAACAGAACTTGCTGGTCACAATTACTAGATATAATGAAAAATATGAGAAACTTGGTGATAAAGTATGAGCCACCGAGAACTGAAGAAGTTGCTGCTTTGAAACAAAAGTTGGAGAGGTGTCACTCTGCTGAGGTTTCACTTAATCTAATTACGAAGAAGAGGAAAGGCTATGAAGATGATGATAATGTTTCAAAGAAATCTAGACATGAGAAGGAAGAATGGATGATGATGACCTGATTGATGCTCTGTAACCATCTGAAGGTGATTTCAGTGCTAACTACCGAGAGGACAAGGAAGCATACCCATTTAATTTTATTTTGAAAGTATAATGTGAAACATCATATATTCATTTTTTAAAAAAAATTACGGTATTTTTAAAAATTTCTCTTTCAAGGGAGCTTTAAATAAAATGCCTTCAAAGAAGCCAATATATCACATGGTTTGGATGATCTTAACCTACCACAGCTAACATCAAATGAGTCTATTGTAGCAAATTAAAGCTGCAATATATTTGCCTATAGTTTAAATAGAATACACTAAGTAATCCTACTTAGTTTTTTAAAAGGCACCACAGATGTCAAAACTTAGTATCAAAGTTGATGGAATGTTTTTGCCCTCTGTAGATGGGTTCTAATGCTACTGTGAAGTACTCACCTACATGTGTTACAATGAAGTCCAGAACATACTTCAGTAATTGTTCCAGATGGGTAAAATAAGTTAGTCTTTGAGTAGCTTTGTCCAGGTAAAAAACTCTTTGCAAGGAGAGAGCAGACCATATATTCATTTCTATAATTAACCTGTTACATTACTTATATATAAAACTATATAAACATGTTGTACTTGGTATTTACATTAAAATGAATTGGTATAATAAAAATAAAGAATCCTTCCTGGGTACAGTATTGCTGTCACTTACAGCTGTGAGAAAGATGGGCCATCCCAACTATCGCTTTTAATAAACCTTGTACTTGAATCATTTCCTAATTCATGTTTTCGAGTGTTTTTTTACAAAGCTTGTGTCTACTAGAAGATCTACAACAGTGCTCATGTTGGTAATTAGGTTTGAAATAATTTTTAGTGATATGCCAAGCTGTGGTACGTAGGATGTGTTGCTGCTGTCCAGCATTCTGATTCATTGTGGCAGTAACCCAACCAATGTACAACATAAGGAAATAAATGGTTCTTACAATCAAAGGTATGTTTGAGCCCATTGTTCTACACAGTTGCCTGTGGCAAAAAAAACCTATGGAGGATCTTTTGCTGAGTCTCTACTCCACCCAGTATGGTGTCCTGACAATATGTGCTAAGTACTTGAGACTAAGGAGCTTTTTTGTTATACTTCTTCCAAATAGATTTATGTTACTCTGGCAGTTCATGGTATGTTTCATATCCTTCACTGCATAATTCAAAGGTGTTATTTTTCTTTATTCATTGTCCAGTTTTTGCATGCATATGTTGTTATGTGCCATCGAGTCGCCACGACTCAGTGGCCATATGTATGACAGCTCTAAACCCTGCTCTATTCCTTGCCAATCTTATTGTCCCCAACACACGTATCTCCATCAACCCAGTGACTGAATCAATCCATCTAATCGAGGGTCTTCCTCTCCTATGCTGTCCCTCCACCCTCCCAAGCATAACATCCCTCTCCAAAGACCAGTCCCGCCTTGCAATATGTCCAAAGTATATCAGACAGAGCTTCAGAATCCTTGCCTTCGAGGAGCAGCCTGGTTTCACTCTCTCTTGGATGAACCTATTTGTTCTCCTAGCAGTCCATGTTGTGTTATTGTTGTTATGTGCCATCGAGTCGCCTGCGACTCATAGTGACCCTATGTACAACAGCCCTAAACTCCGCTCTGTCCTGTGCCAATCGCACTGTCTCTGACACTCCCAACCCAATTATCCCAGTCACTGAATCAATCCACCTCATAGACAGTCCATAGGCTATTCAATATTCTTCCCCAGCACCACAGCTCAAAGGCATCCACTATCTTTCTTTCATCACTAGTCAGCTCTCTGATGCACAGCAAGTGATTGCAATGACAATGGCCTTTGATCTGGCACACCTTAGTTTCCAGACTGACATCATTGCTCGTCGGTACTTTGAAGAGGTGTCTGACAGCAGACTTCCCAATGCAATTCATCTTTTAATTTCCTGGCTGCTGGTACCAAGAGTGTTGATTGTAGAGCCAAGCAAACTGAAGCAGCAGTCAACCAACTCAATGTCTTCATCATCTATCATGATGCTGCCAATAAGCCCAGAGTGAGAATCTTTGTTTTCTTGATGTTGAGCTTCAATCCATATTGAAGGCTGCAGTCCTTGACCCTGTGCAGCAAGCGCTTCAGGTCCTATTCATGCATATGAGGTGACGGGTCTGGTGCACTTTATCCCTCAAAATAGCATCTTTGTTTTATGACACTTTACAAAGATCTACAGCAGACTTTCCAACACCATACATTACTTGATTTTTTTTTAACTATTGCATGATATTTATTGCATGGGAAGAAAAGACCAAAATGGATGTTACTTTGGCAATTATAAAAATATTATGAAGGGGTAGGCTTAGAGCTGGAGTTGGAAAATAAAAAGCAAAGAACAACTGTTGTAAAATGGGACTGACATCGGGGTTGGGGGAGACTGAGAAAAATGGGATAGATGATGTATACTGCATTGAAACAGGTGAGAGAGAGAAGTGTTTAAAAGGGTTATATGATTAGGTATTATTGTCATGATAGGAGTCCAGAGCGAAGGCCCATAGTGGAGTGGACCCAGGGGGAAGGATTGTATAACAATGAAAGAATTTTTATTTTACTTTTCAAAGAGAAGAGGGAACTGGGGAGGAGGCGTGGGCAGGGAGAAAAGTGCAACAATGAATGAATGGAAATCCAAAAATTAATAATAAAAATTAAAATTAATAATTTTTAAAAAGCAAAGAACACATTCAGCATTTCTTACACTGAAAGAACTGAAAAACAAATTCAAGTTTCGAGCTACAATACTGAAAGATGCTGTGGGGAATTTTGCAATATATTGCTGCTTGTGTTTTTTAAAGTATTTACGATAATAAACCATGAAAGGTATAAAATCCAATCATTTGATCTCCAGCCTTTTAAAATGTTTTTACTATTGCATGGAATATATTGCATGGCAAAAATATGGTATTTATTACATCGGTGTTGATTGTTGTTGTTGTTGTTATGTGCCGTCGAGTCGCCTGCGACTCATAGTGACCCTATGTACAACAGCCCTAAACTCCGCTCTGTCCTGTGCCAATCGCACTGTCTCTGACACTCCCATCCCGATTATCCCAGTC